CCTATGCCACCCCTTGGCTCTTGCCTTACCACGTAAACGCTGACCGACACCCGTCGCCCAAAATTGTGCCGCGTCTTCATCTGCAGGGGCGCATGCAGGCTTGGTTGAATGTTTGAATGTTGAGATGCAAGCGCCCGTTCATGTCGTGGTCGGCAAGCCGGCCACCGCGTACCGGATATGTTGGCGATGTCAAAGAGACGCTGCACCTCGGTACCTGTGCGCAATGCGTACGCTGCTCGACCGCGCCGACCAAAACTACATGTTCCCAACTGAAGACATTCCCGGTGGTTCTGCAGCAGCTTTTGAGCTTGCTGCTGGCTCAAGTCCTTCCGTAGCTGCTGCAACACGGCTAACGCAGGCACGGCCGAATGCGCTGCGAAAAGCTGTTCCAAGCCCTCAGCGGCATCCATGTTACTTGCAAGGTTCTGAACGACTTTCGCGATTTTTATCTTTACCTAATTCTGCGTTTGTTATAATTCTTTTCGTAAGAGTGTAATTTGACTTTAGTCGGAACAAGGTGCTGTATGCGCTGCGCTACAGAAAGCAGGCGTCTTTTGGCTTGCACACAAGTGCCGCTTCGCCAGCTGGCGCTCAGTGCCGCTTCGTCTGCAGACGCTTCCTCTTCCCGCGGCCGTTTCACGAGCCCAGTCTTGCAAGCTACGACGTAGGCTTTCGGTGCTTTCAGTTACTGCAAAGCAGCCACGCAATAGTCCAGCCTGCATGCCGCGTGCGACTGTGGCCATCGTGCCCACCTGCGCAATGCGCTGGCGCACCTCGTCCTTTTCCGCCAAGAAAATTTATATACACTTGTACACGCGCATTTTGAGAACCGCACGCGCGCATCCGCGCGGTAAAATTCGCGCCTGGCTTTTGGGGCGTCTTGTACGGAGTCTTTATTCGGCACAGTACGACCGGACACATTTGTGCGAAGGGGCTGCTTAACGAGGGGGGTCCTTGTGAAGCAGCTGCCCGCGTTTCCAAAGCACGTATGGTGTTTGATTGTATGTTGCTAAAGTACGTTTGCGCTTAATGGTTTGTGCCAAGGCTGGATAGTTAAGCAGTGCAGTGGTTATTGGAATGTGAGAATAGCTTCGAAGCAGTTTAGTGAAGGTGTTTACATGTCGTTTAGCGCACTACGCAATGTATATGCAGAACAGTCGTTGCGTGCGCGTATGTAACGACACCAGGTAGCAGAAGCAGAAGATGAAGAAGAGCACCAAAGCAGCAGCGCGTGTTCGGACACGTCGCGTCGGACCTTTGCTAAGATGTAGGAACGACTAATAAGGCGTAGGTTCAATATTCCTATCGCGCGTGGTTGGCCATGCCAGAACCGACAACATGATGGGTGCTGCCCCACAATACCAACTTGCCCCCTACCAACTTGCTTCCGAGCACGCGAGGAGCGGACATAGACAAGAGGGCGGCGGGCTGTTGTTTCAGTCGGAACGCTATCGCAATAGACCATCCCAAGCCGTTCACACACAAGTTAATGTTGGACATGTATGCACCGAGAATGAAACCCAAAGTGCGACCGTGCCTAAATACAACAGCACCGTTGAATGTCCAGAAGCCTAGCGCCGAAATGGTGGGACGTGACCGGTCAATATTTAGGAGTTGAGCTGATGTGTGGGCTAGGCAAGCGTTGCAGGGGTGTCATCGTCCTGGACTGTGACGGCGGTGGGCGTGTGGTCGCTGCCTGCGCGGCGTTGGGTCATGGCGTAGAAGGCCGGGCTGGCGGAAGGCGGCCCCCGCAGCACATTGTAGCCTCCCGGCCCCCGTGCCTTGAACTGTTCGATGTAGAAGGCTTCCATCTTGTGGGCCAGAGCAGGATTGGCGGTGGACATGAGGCGCGTGAGGGTGAAGTGATTTCGGAAGGGTTGGTAGCGACGGGCGTCGTCCTTCATCCGGCTGGGTGGGCTACGGGCATGAGCTTGGAAGCGGCGTTCAGGGTCCCGGGACTGACCGACGTATACCCTGCCGGTCGGTTCGCACGTGATGGTATATATTCACGTGCGGGCGGGGGCACTGGCATGTGGGTCGGCTGGGCTGGTAGCAGGTCGCTTGGCTGGCGTGATGGTGGGCAGGAGGGCTCCCGACGCTCGCGCCTTCTGTGCTTCTTCCAGCACCGTGTGCGCAAAGGCTTGGTCCGCGTTTAGGACAGTAGCAGAGTCCATGTTGTAATCGTAAATGAGCTGTATAGCAGTGTCCGCACGGAGGCTGCCGGCAGCTGCAATCCATAGCTGCATGACCTCGGCGTGCGTGGCCACGGATCTGTCGGGCATGTCGCCCTCATGGATCTGCTCCGTCACGTTGTACAAGAACGCTGCATGGGCATGGAGGGCGGCAGGGTGGATGTTTAGTTGGCGGGATGGCGGGGCGGAAGTGAAGGCATGCCGGGGCGGGGGTGACAGGTACGGACCCTGTGGCCGGGCAGTTGGGTTGCGGGCACAAGGGACGGCAGCTGGCACAAGCGAGCAAAGGGCAGCAAGGGAGGACGCCTTACTGCTGGCAGGCTTGCCGCCGTGCTGCGCCGTGAACTCGTCCTTGTATTTACGGCCCTCAGCCAGGAGCACGTTGAACTGTGCGTTGGTATGGCGGGCGCGCAGGACGTCCTCGTCGTGGCATCCCATGCTTCCCAGGAGCAGTTGCTGCCTGACGGTTGGTAGGGCAGCAGCAGGGCGTGTCAAGATGGTAGTTGCATGGGACAGCCAGAGGAAGCGTGCATGCAGAGCAGGGACGGCATGCGATCTGTTGGGAAGGGTCCGGCGTGGCAAGGCGTCTGCTAGTACCGGAAGATGAGGCGCTTACTTGAAGGAGAGGGGCCGTTTGGGCACCCCGGCTGGCGCGGAACGATCGCGGCCTCCGCCGGTTGGGGACGCCGCCGCCAGCTTCGCCCACAGGTCATTTATGTCGACGGGCGGCTTGGCTTGGGCGCCGGCGGAAGACGTGGACGGCTGGCTCGTTGAAGGCGTGCCATAAGCGCCCAAGTTGACGGGCGCAAGTGTCGGCGGTGACGCTTGTGACTGTCGTGCCATTTTTGGAGCCATCTTGTTCTGGTTCGCAACAGTAGAAGAAGTGTCCGCGAAGTGAGATGCTGGCTGGGTGCCGTCCGCAAAAGGGACTTTGGTCTTTTAGCCAAAAAAAGGAAGCACAAGAATGTGTGTAAAAGAAGGCGACACATGCTGGCATTTATACTTGTTGCGGCATCGTACAAACGGGATGCGTCAAAGAGGCGGGCTGAATCTGAAGGGCGTCGAAGCTATGTCGGTTCGTCTTCGCATGGCGTGCATGGGCGACGGCTGTAGCGCCAACGGGTGGGGCGCTGGGACAAGTTGTATGCGGAAATGAATGAAGCGCCATGGACATGGCGTGTGGTCATGCCCAAATGTGAAAGCGGTGCGTTGCGTTGCTATGAGCAGAGCAAAAACCGTTGCAGGGCAGGAGCGACGTGAAAGTCGTCGGCGTGCATATGGTTGGGAGCGTGAGTTCGGACTGGATTGGGAAGTAATGCATGAAATGGAAAAAAGTGCGTTAGGTGGTGAGCCGTCCGGACTGATGACATGGTGCTGACGGCGTTCTGCAAATGTAAGGACGTGTTGAATTGCTGTGCAACGGGACTATTTAGGAAGCGCGAGGGTTACTCGTGTCCGCAGGAAGAGCCCCGGCTGGCCAGCGCGGTCTGGGCACACGAACGCTCCGCGCAATGTTAGCGATGTCGCGCAGAACCTGGTTAATCGCACGCATAGAAGCGCACGCGGACGTGAACGATGTCGCGTCGGCATGTAGCTTCGGTGCATGCGAAAGAAAGCAAAGCGCAATTGGGCTGTGTGCCGGCTGGCAAACGCGAACCGTTCTAAATTATGCCAGCGAGACAACATGCGCGCATCCTGCATACAGCTAGCAACTGCGGCAACAACGAGCGAAGCGCCGAGGAATTGCAGTGCGGGAGGTACAGTGCAGGCATTGATGTATAGTGCAACCTTAAGGCCCGATGGTGCGTCGGGCGAAGTGGCGGAAGGGATGTCGCGGAAGACGGAACGGCCTGCGAGTTGTCGCCGCGCAGGTATCGTCGGCGCACTCGTCCAGCGACGCGAGGCCCGAAACGGCACAGGCAAACGGTTGGGGCGCTGGGAAAGTGGCATGCGAAACTGAATAAAGCGCCATGGACATGGCAGGTGGTCATGCCTACCTGTGAAAGCGGCGCGTTGTGTTGCGCCGAGCACAGCAAATACAGTTGCTTCATGTTGGGAACGCAAGTTCGGACGCGATTGGTGTGTAATGCTTGAACTGAAGTAAAGTGTGTGAGGTGGTGAGAAGACGGACTGGGGACATGGTGCTGTCGGTGTTGTTGCACTGTAAGGACGTGTTGAATTGTAGTGCAACGGGCCTATTCACGAAGCGCGAGAGTTACTCGCGGCCTAAGGAAGAGTCCCGGCTGGCCAGCGCGGTCTGGGCAATCGAGCGCTCCGCGCAATGTTAGCGATATTCGCAGAACCTGGTTATTCTCATAGAAGCACACGCGGACGTTAACGATGCCGCGTCGGCGTGTAGGTGTGGTGCATGCGAAAGAACGCTAAGCGCAATAATGCTGTGCGCCGGCTGGCAAAGGCGAACCGTTCCAAATTCTGCCAGCGAGGCCGCATCCGCCGGCAACTGTCGGCCCCGGCCAGCAACAGCGGCAGCAGCGAGCAGAGGACCGAATAGTTGCAATGCGGGAATTGCAGGGCAGGAGTTCATGAACATTGCAACCTGAAGGCCAAATGGTACGTCGGGCGAAATGGCTGAAGGGCGGTCGCGAAAACGGAGTGGCCCGCGTTGCTGTCGCGTTGCTGTCGGCGGATTCGTTCAGCGACGCGAGGCCCGAAAAGGCGCAGCACGTAGTGTGGGGTGTATATAAACCCGAGGAGGGGTATGACAGAAGAGTATACGTGTCTCTTTGAAAAAACAAAGCCAGCGGTACTTACCTAACCTTGCGTGGACGAATACCAGCACTCGAAAGAATGGCAGTAAGTAACGTTTGCGGTTTCCAGTGTGCAATATACCGTTCGCGAACTGGAATGTTGGAGACGCTTGCATTGCAAGATGTGAGCGAGCCCTCGAAATGCTGCAGGCGTTGGCGAACGCAGATTTGGAGCGGCTGGCGCAGCTGGCGTCGGTAATGGACAATTCCAAGACGCGGCTGGCCGTGCTGTGCCGTGTAGTATCAGCGGCGTGCCCTGAACAGGCAGAGACCGTGGAGTTCATTAGTGAGGTGCACGCGGAGGATGGGCAGCAGGCGACGTCTGCCATGAGGGACGTGGCCGCGGCGGCCATGTTTGACATCATTCGGCGGCATGATCGTTCTGGCAGGGCCCTGGCATTTCCGCTGCGTGATTGCGTGGCGTTGCCCAGCGCGCGCGCCAATGAAATGATGCAGTGCACATCGGCGTCATACGGGCGCAGGAAGCATGTGCCGTGCGGTGTGACGGCGATGGATTTCATCGGCAGGAGCGTCCTGGGCATTGTGGTGCAGGCATTGGCCAGCACGCGTGCCTGGGCTGCTGAGCAGGGACTGCTTCGAAGGGCGGAGCATGGATCGCCCATTGGGGATGGGCTGGTGCTGGCGGGCGGGTGCGTTCACAACGCGCTGCAGCCGGCGGCTCAGCAACTGTCGGTGGCACAGGCCGACGCGGACGTGTTCTTGGTGGGTGCTGTCAGTGCCGCAGCTGGCGCGCGCATGGCCGCACACTTTTTGGAGGGCCTGGCGCATCGTGTGGAAGTGGTGCAAGGCAGCATGCTGGTGACGGAGCGCTCCGTCGGCGCGCTGTACATGATACCACCCGGTGCGGTTGCGCAACACCCAAGCAGCTCACGGGCTGGCAGAAGCCTGGGGTCAAGCCGCTGTATGACATTTGCTAGTCTGACAGAGTCTGTCAAAGCCTGAGGATGAACTTATACCTGCAGAGTGTTTTGAAAACCCACATGTGTTGCACCCATCATGCTGTAATGTGCAGGTTTCGCTGACGCGGGACGTGGCCTTCGTGTGCAGGTGTGCCTGCGGCCATACTTTTCAACATTCCACGTGTTGAACAGCTTCGACTTGTGCGCTTGCAAAGTGGCGGCGCTGCCGTCGGGAGCAATCGTGGCCCATCCACGGTAAGTGCGGTGCGGGGGCAATGGTTGGCCGGGCAGACAAGGGGCATGCGTGGAAATAGGTAAATGACGTGTTTGCTGTAGGCTGAGTAGGCACCTGTGGCACGTCCTGAACGTGTGCTGAGACCGTGGCTGCTGTGCCGTTCATGATGGCAGGTTTGTGTACGGCTGCGCACGTGGGCGTGTGCAGATGGTGCTGCCTTGTCTGTGCATGCTGGGTGACCAGGTGTGTGTGGTGCAGTGAGGGAGCCGGTTATCATAAAGGTGTCAATGGAGCACAGTGCGGACACAGGTGCCACAGGCCTTCAGGTGTGGTTGTGCTGCCGGCATGCAAGCTGTTGTGGAAGGAGTATGGTGAAATGCCAGCACCGACAGGCTCCACAGTGGCCCAGCGCTTGAGGTCATCGTGCAGGTCGGTGCTGGTGACACCACACATGGCGCACACCACAAGTGCACCGGCCAGCAGCATGCTTGTGACAGCGCTCCAAGCCGCGAGCCGGTCAGAGATGCCAAGTCTGTGGCCGGGGCCACTGCGCCAGGATGCTCCAAAGTACCCAGGAATGTGTTGCTCAGCATCTGTTACAGCAGGAGTGGGCAATGGTACGTCAGATGGTCGACGGTGCTGCTGGTGTGTTGGCTGTGCAGCGACCCGGTTGCGTTGATGTGGCTGGTGATGCTGCTGACGCCTCTGCTGCTGCTCCTGCTGCTGGTGCACCTGAAGGGGCTGCTGCTGCAGCGGTAAGTGCTGTGATGACTGCCGTGTCACCGCAAGCAGTCGCCGCATGACAACCGCAGGTTCGTGCTGATCAGCCCATTCCGCCAAAACCTGCTGCACGGTGAACTCAAAGCGGCTGTCCATCGCATGCAGGACAGCACACACTTGAGCAGCACGCCCGGCAGATGGTGATTCTGACATGCAGAGGCCAACCGCTCGACAAGCCGCGACGAGATGCTGACGGCGTTGCCCTGTCCACACATCTGGCAACATATCCAGTAGGCGGTAAGACACGGGGGTGCCAGCGAGGCTGGTCTGCCTGATGAGGCACACTTCTGTTGGCGCATTGCTGGAGCCCCAATAGCAGATCTGCAGCCCATCCGGGTCAAACACTGTGATCGCTATGTTGAGAGCATGGGCAAGAACTGCCAGCTCCACATCGCCTGGCAGCAGCCGTTGCTGCTGTAGGGCTTCGCCATATTGCACCGCCGTGCAAGTGCTGGGGAGGCTGCTGGCATGGGCATGTAGCACTTGAAAGCGCATCGAATCCCAAGACTCGGCAATGACGCCCACCACGGTCGCCAGCAGAATTTCAGGCGCAGGCACATCAGTGGCACACGCGGCAATGAGAGCGTGACGCACGCAGTCCAAACACGTTGCGTGGGCATCGAGCGGCACGACAGCACAGTTGGTAATGTCGCTGCGAGCATATAGGGGCACTCGGACTTGGCCTGCATAGCAAGCATGAGCAGTGTGCCTCGTTCTCAAAATGATGTGAGTACACTCGGGGTAGCTGTGAGCAGTGCCTTCAGAAGAGGCCTCACTGTATTTCTGCGATGTGCTGCATATCATGTCACACTCCGCGGATCACATGCTCACATTGGCACACGCTTACCGGTGCTGCTGGATGGCTCTGCATTTCCAACGCGAACTCCGGTTGGTTGTAAATCGATAAGCATGGATGACGTGTCGGCTGTACCGGTATCGCACACTGAGCCTTCTTGAGGATGGGCTGCACGGACGCCTGTTGAGTAGGGTAATGTGCAGCGGTGGACTCAGCAGGTGTTGTAGCTGTATATGAACAGGTTTGGCGGTTGACATGCACTTATGAACCAATTGCATTCGCCAGGAAACGAACTGGAATCATTCTTTAAGATTACTTACGAACTGGATAGGCTGGCTATTGTGGGCTCGTGGCAGACGAAAGGACCTGCGTCTCGTGGCAGACGAAAGGACCTATACCACCCCTATGCTCTTGCTTACCACGTAATTGCTGACCGACACTCGTCGCCCAAAATTGTGCGGCGTCTTCATCTGTGCAGGTACGTATGCAGGGTTGGTTTAATGTTTCAATGTTGTGATGCAAGCGCTTGTTCATGTCACGGTCGGCAAGCCGGCCACCGCGTACCAGATATGTTGGCGATGTCAATGAGGCGCTGCACCTCGGTACCTGTGCGCAATGCGTACGCTGCTCGCCCGCGCCGACCAAAACTACATGTTCCCATCTGAAGACAATGCCGGTGGTTATTCAGCAGCTCTTGAGCTTGCTGCTGGCTCAAGTCCTTCCGTAGTTGCTGCAACACGGCTAACGCAGGCACGGCCGAATGCGCTGCGAAAAGCTGTTCCAAGCCCTCAGCGGCATCCATTTTACTTGCAAGGTTCTGAACGACTTTCGCGAATCTTAACTTTACCTAATTCTGAGATGTTATTATTTATTTCGTAAGAGTGTAACTTGAGTTTAGTCGGAACAATGTGCATTATGCGCTGCGCTACCGAAAGCAGGCGCCTTATGGCTCATTCTTCGCCGACCGCTTCATCTTCCGCGGCAGTTTCACGAGCCCAGAGTTGCAAGCTACGCCGTTGGCTTTCGGTGCTTTTAGTTACCGCAAAGCAGCCACGCAATAGTCCAGCCTGCATGCCGCGTGCGGCTTTGGCCAACATGCCCACCTGCGCAACGCGCTGGCGCGCCTGGCCTTTCCGCCGAGAAAAATTATATACACTTGTACAGGCGCATTTTGCGAATCGCACGCACGCATCCGCACGGCGAAATTCGTTCCTGGCTTTTTTGGGACGATGTACGAACTGTTTATTCGCGAAGTACGACCGGACACATTTGTGCGAGGGGCTGCTTAAAGATTTGGCATAATGGTCTGTGTTTGCAAAATGGTTATGCAAGCATAGAAAGCATTATTGCTAATCGGGTGAGCCGTATCAGATCTAAGTACGTTCCCCGAACAAACGGGGTGCGCATGCGACGTTAGACTTTCAGAACCGAGCGAAAAGACAAAAATCCCTGCTCCGAATATTAACGCTTATAGTCCATCATCCTTACTTAGCGTTCCATGCGCCGCGGTGCTAACTCTGCATCCGTTTCCTTCCTTACAATGCACATCCGTCAGGGCCAGAGTCTTCGTAGCAATCTTTCATATTCAGCACGTAATGAACCCTTCATGGACATCAGCTGCATTCGCCTGACTTGTCGTCCATGCGGCAGCATGGGCAAATGGCCCAACGCGATTTAAGTTTGCTGCTGCTTGCGGCCAAAAAAAATGCACTCCAGAACTGTCATATCATCCCCTGGTTGTATTTGGTTTGCCTACAAGTCGACGTGGATACCACCTGCTGTGACCGCCGTATCGTAAGACACTTTTCCTGTACGGGCGGAACCAACAACAGGCGAAGTTCAGAACCCGACTAGTAGCTAAAATTCAGCATTCAAAGAGTTAAACGTCCCCGTCCGTGACTTGCACATAACAATCCAAGCATCTCCTAAGCGTCTTTCTCCCCCTTCGTAAGGCCATCGCGTCCACCAACGCACGTCTTACATCCGCCCAGTCCAGTGCCGTTGAAGCAGTGACGAGTAATATGAACGCCTAAGTAATTCATGAACATCCGCTGCGTTTGCCTAGCATTGTCGTATAGGAGGTCGCGTTGGTATCAGGCCATCAACGTTGCGCCCAGGACAACACTTGCTGCAGCCAAGAAACAGAAATTATATTTATTCGTTCATCCCCTTGGTATTAGTGTTGCCCTCTAGTCGACGTAGATACCACCTCCTGACACCGCCGTATCGGAAAGCACTTTTCCGGTACGGGCGGGCATGAGGTTAAGAACTGAACACAATGGGATAAATCACTATGACCTGGTGACCAACTAGAAAGAAAAATGTTGCCTTCCATGGTTAACACATACCGTTGCATGCCCTGTATATGCGATAAGAAAGTTGCCTCATGTCCATCCGTCCGGTCCAGACACGTAAGAGCAATTTTCCATAACACGGATGTAAGCACCGTTCGGGATGTCCGTCGTGTTTGCCTCAGGAAGTCGTCCTCCCGGCGGCGGATCGGGCCCTCAGCACCGGCCGGTACCAGCTGGTACCAGCTACTGCAGCCGCTTAATCGATGCTGATCGTGATGTGTAATTGGTCCAGCATAAAGCACATTCTCCATCATCCGGAAGGGATCCCTTAGCCGTAGTACATGTAAAGGATGCGCAGGACAAGCAGTGTAAGAGGTACTCGGAAAAAACGCAGAAAAGAACGTTCTGTCCAAATAGCTAACAAGCTGTACCTTAGCGGAATGCAGGGCGCTTCTAACATACATGCCACCCTTTGGAACGAATGTTGTAGGCTTGTCCTGTTCGGTTTATGTTAGCATTGCATTAAGAATTTCAACGTGATACCTGCAGGTTAACTGTTTACTGATAAATAGTTTAATCGGCGGCGTGCGTATATCATTCCCTTACTTCGCCGGCAGGTCTATGGAAAGTCCCCGAAAAGATTACATAACGTTGCAAAACTCCTTTCAGTGCTTTCGGAAAAGAGGTCCTAGATCTTGAGACCCTGGTAAGCCAGAAATCGCTGACGGCTAGCGCTGTAAGCGTACCTTTTCCATCTCCTGTATTTTCAAAGCATACACACACGCGCGATACTTAAGAATACGAAAATTTTAAACAGTTTAACAGTTCATGTGGAGGCGTTTGCGGTGCAACTGGCGCGAATAGGACACCAGAGGTCACAGGAAATACAGCTCTTACGACTACTAGCAGTAAGTAGATATTAGGGACGAGGAGTACCTGCAGGTACTCCGTCAGCTGACGGCGATGCATGGGCTCCACTGCTGCATGTGAAGAGCGAAATACGTGGCGGAGTGTGCGGAGTGAAGCCCATGGTGCTGGGCGAGGGAGGAGCAAATTGTTACGGCACAGAGAAAATGATTGGAAATCGCACATGCTCCCTACCTGCCTCGTGGCGGCAAGGCAATGTCCGAGTCCCGCATGGTTCTTGGTGTAAGGCTGTGCAATCAGTCCAAATCTACTTCGCCGACCGTGCGTCAAACAACCACCACATAACACAACCACCACAAAGCGACTATCATATATATGGAACGTGCATGGAGATAGGTCATTGTTCGCGTGACCTATTCGCAGAATGATGATGTACAAAAAGAATGCGTTCTTCTTAGCCTTAAATAAGGAAAAGCGGTCGCCGCAAACGGACACTGCATTGCCTTCACCCCCCTACCGCACCGGAGCTCATCCACATTACGACTTAAGTGTCCCCCACCCAACCCCGGGGCCCTCGTGTCCCGCTGACAACAACACACATGGGAGGGGAGGGGAGGGGAAGAGCGGGAAGTGTGTGGATGTGAAAAAAAAAACACTTGGCTATGAAGCGCGACCACAACACGCCGCTTGTGGAACACTTCATGTAGTTAGTTAGTTAGTTAGTGAACTACACCGTCCGCATCCCCAACTTCCCTCCTTCCCTGTCCTCTGTGTGAAGCAAAACCGCTCTCCACCCCCTCCCTGATCCCGGTGCCCCCTGATGCCCCCCCGGATGGTCCTCCTCGCACCGACGCCCCCCACCATCATACTCCCCAGCCGCACCAGCACCAGCACCGCCATCATCATCACCATCATCATCATCATCACCACCACCGCACTGCGTAACTGCACAAAAAGAGTATTATATACGCGCATATACGATATCCATCAACGCGGGTGCAGCGGGAATGGAACGAGAACATGCAGCTCGTCGTGGGTCGTGCAACTCTTGAGGCACACTACTGGACAGCACGCAACGCACAGCAGCAACGGCCCCTTACCCCCCTACAACAGGAGTGCGAGCCAACCCAATATCAACAGCAACAAAGATAATAAAAACAACAACCTTCTCCTTTAGGTTCGTGTTAAGGACTTGGGGTATGAATAAATCCATGGGACGCCCCCCAAACGGTTTGGCAACCAAAATCGGTTTCCATAATCCTAACACACACACATACACACACACGCACATATGCATTCATACATACATACCTTACCCCGCTAGGCTAGCACGGGAACTCCCCACCCCTCCCCGGGGTGAGATCTTTCCTTTCCCCCCCTCCCCCCAACCACTTCAGTAACAGAACAGACACTTGGCGGAAGTCACGCAACGAACTTAACTGGTAACCAACTTTCCGAGTTGAGGGGCTAGGTGGGTGGGAACAATGTGCACCCATCTCACATTTCGCAGGCCTCATGACCATATGACCATCACCACGACGATGGCGATAATGATGATGATGATGATGATGATGATGATGGTGATAACGATCACGCATTCTGCAAGACACAGCCCGCAGCAGGCACCCTCTCACATTTTCCTGACCGTCTGATACCCGTCTGTTAGCTCCGCACTTTGGCGCCCCTAATAACCCCCCTCGCCGCAATCATTCGTTGGTTTATATTTCGGCATCCGTGCCTCAACACACTGACATACATACATGATATACATGCATACGTTACTGCTTGGGCCCCCCTGCTGTCCTCCGGGGGAACTACCACTTTGCAAAGCACTTCCCTCCGCATCCCCCGCCACATAGTACTCTGTCCTATCACTGCTACCAGCACTACTACGTAATACCCCCAGGCCGCGCCGAGTCTGTTTTCTCAGTGATCCCAGTGACACCGTGTCATAATCAAATCCGAGCACAGGATCCCTTCAACTTATAATTCAGGCCTCCCCTTCGCCTCCCCTTCGCCTCCCCTTCGCCTCCTCCCCTCCCTGCCTCCCTCTTGTATCCATCAGAGGAGAAGACAGCCGACACAAAACGTTCCCGAGGACATCCCTACGAACCGAACCGAGCCGCCGCCGCCACCGCCGCCGCCACCACCATCACCATCACCATCACCACCACCACCACCACCACCACCAGCAGACTGCCCTTTGCCGGCCATCCGCCAGGATACGGCCGCCGAATCCACCCCCATCCCCACCCCCATCTCTAACAGCACGAGCTAAACATACCATGTTGTCCCATCCACATTCACATTTCCACCCCCACCCCACCCCATCCACATTTCCATACACATCCACATTCACACAACTCCATCCGGTCATGGGGGTAATAGGGGCGGGAGAGAGGCCGCGTCTGTCAGTCAGTCTGTCGATCGGTCAGGCCACCGGCCGTTGCAGCACCAGCAAGCGATTGCCTGCTCTGGTGATGATGACCTCCCCGCGGTGTTGGTGTTGGTGTTGGTGGGGGAAGGAGGCGGAGCCCACAGCGGCGCTGCGACCCGCAGCTGCTGCTGCTGCTGCCGCAGCTGCATCCGCTGCCGCATTGGCCAGTGCCACGGCGTGCAGGTTGGCGGCGGCCAGCTGCTGGGCCAGACGGTGGCGGTAGAGGTCGAACGCGATACGGCTGCAGCGTACGGCACGGCGCAGAGTAGTACGGTATGGTACGGCAGGCGGTAAGGGACAGGAGAAAGGAGAGGTGCCCACCGTGTTGTCGAGGTAGTGGGGAGGGGGAAGGGGGAAGGGGGAAAAGGAGTACCACCCGGAATGAATCTTTGCGGGAGGCGAAGAAGGGAAAGGAGAGCGGTGTCACCTCTCTCGTTCGAGTAAGGTGGAAGAGGGAATGAGGGAATGAAAGAAGAGTGGAGCGCGCACGCACTGTGTTTAGTACGGAAACGGAAAACACACACAGCAAGACGACGACGGAGGCGAATCGAAGGGAGGGAGGGAGGGGGTGTGGGAGGGGACCCCCTGACGGGAGGCAGAGCTCGCCCCCGCCAACCTGGGCGCCGAAAGCACCCCCCTACCCCTACCCCTACCGAGGGAAGGTGGGTGGGGGCCGGGGCGGTCGGGGCACATACCGCGGCTGGACCGACTGGACTGGACTGGACTAGATCACGCGGGGTCTCCGGCATTGTGTTGGCGACTATACTCAATATATAGTCCTACATATATACATACATACATACACATATAAACATATAGTGTAATCTAAGTCATACACATATAAACATACATACTCTTAATAGTCCTACATATATACATACATACATACACATACATACACATACATACATACATACACATATGTCTCATGTACTCACAGCACCAGGTAGATGGGCAGCACCACCAGTAGCACCCGCCACAGCGTCATCTGCGAGGTGGGATGTGATGTGATGTAGGTGGGTGAGTGGGTGGGTGGGTGGGTGGGTGGACAGGGAGAGGGGCAGGACGAGGAGGAGGATGGGGTCGGGTGTGGTGCGGTGAGGTGAGGGAAGGAGAGGAGAGGTGGGATACGAGAAATATGAGAGGTACGTGCACAAACCCCGAACCTGAGGGGAAGGCGGGGTGGGGCGAGACGGAAAACGAGACGAGGGAGCGACGTTGGAAGAAGGGCGGCCGCTGTTGCTGTTGCACAACAATATGACCCCCGCATATGGTCGCCTCCAACACAGGGGAACCCGACCACATCATGACCTTCCCTGACATATACAGGCTGACAGACTGACTGACAGACTGACTGACAGACAGGCTGACAGACTGACTGACAGACATGCTGACGCCAGCTTCTGCCCGGGGCTCAGATGGATAAAGCAGATACGCAAATACATACAGACGCGCACCTCAATACACACACGCATATACTCTGCAAATATTTCCAGACAACACGGACGCACGCGCACATTGATGTGCCCACATGTACAAATACATACATACATACATACATACATACATATACATACATACAAATACATCGCCGGCACCCTTACCAGCCACGCCTCCGGCTGTCTCTTTTTGGATATGACCGTCACGTAGATGACAGCACACAGCAGCAGCACCAGGATCAGGCCGTACGACCTGGAAAACAGGTTGCAGGTGGGCGGGGTGGCGGGGGGGAATGCAACTCATCAGTACAACACTGCGGGGCGCAACCCGCGAGGCCCAACCGTCAGCGCGGAGGCACCCCTGTGAGCGGCTGGGTGGGGTGGCTCTGGGTTTCAGTCCTGGGTAGGAGGTCCGTCGGGTAGGTGGGATCCACTCTCGTACACACGTGTGCGCGTATACACACACGCAAGCAGACAAACATACATACATGCACTCACCAGAAGCTCCTCCAGTCACACATCGGCTGCACCTCCATCTCCCGCCGATCCCCCACCTCCATCCCCAATTCAGTAGCCGTTACGACGGTGGTGGCCCCTCGTCCTCCGCCTCCAGCTGCCGCTGCCGCCCGTATGGTGGTGGAGGTGGAGGTGGCCATCTGGTGCTGCAGGAGCGGGCCGATGGCTCCCGGGCCCAGGTCCACCCCCACCGGCATGATAATGATGGGCTGGCCGTCAACAGTGCTGTGCGAATGAAAGAGGATGAATGGGGGAGGAGAAACAAAGGGGGGAGGAGGTGTATGTGTGTATGACTTATGTATGTATGTATGTATGTATGTATGTATGTATGTATGTATGTATGTATGTATGTATGTATGTATGTATGTATGTATGTATGTATGTATGATAACAATAGTAATGGTAGCAGTTATGAAGCATAACGAATATATAGAAAAACAGGCACATTCCCGCACAGAGACACATACAGATGCATGCACAAATACACACTAATACCCACGTGATGCGGCGCACAGTGGCCAGGTGGGCTTGCGGAAGTACGGGAGGTATGGAAGCCGCCAGCTCACTGCCGTACGGCTCTTTGTACATGGCGCCACATAGCTCGCAGCGGACGGAGCGCTTCTCCATCACCCAGGTCTGTACGGCAATACCGGCATAAGGCCCATTTTGGGATGGAACGTTTCGGAACGACAACACGGCAATGGGAAGATATACACGCGGCGGGTGTGCGAGTGTATGTATGTATGTATGCATGTATGTATGTCCTCGGCGCCAGAGCATACAGCCGCATCCGACCAATTCTTTGTCCTGTTGAACTGTAGCGGCTTGCACTGCTGGCACACCACCTAGCTGCTGTGTTGCTGTTGTTGTTGCTGTTGTTGTTGCTGTTGTTGTTGCTGTTGTTGCTGTTGTTGCTGTTGACACAACACAGGGCTCTGATCTGCAGCAGGGTACTTCAGGGTATTAGAACTCTCGGCCCCCCCCCCGGGGGACGTGACCACGTCGCGGCTCCTTGGCGGCCCCCTCGGTGGGGCTAACGAGGGCGCCGGGCCGGCCGGCGATATGGGGACCCGGGCAGGGGTGTGTGTGAAAATGTGCCCACAGCTCTCCCCTTTCTTAAGCATCAAATCGGGCCATTGATTTGCCGACTGGCTGGCTGTGGTGGTGGGGAGGTGGCGGGGGGGAGGTGGCCGGGGTGAGGTGGCGGGGTGCGGCTTCTAGGGCCCATAGCGGCTTCCGCAAACCCCTAGCCAGTTTTGGCCCCCAGTGCATGCCCCCCTCCCTTCGCTATACACATTCGTTCGTCATGCAGGCAGCAGTCCAGCAGTCCTGCAGGGCCCCCCCCCCGCATTTGCTCTCCGCCATCTTTCACCCCCATCTCCCCCCCGTCTTACTCGGAGGCACGTCAGGTGGGCGTGTCCTAATGAGCCGGTGCAGCGGCAGGGGGCCACCAGGTCTCCGGATGGCTCTGACAAGAGGCAGATGCGGCACTCGGGCGCAAAGGAGTTGAGAGGCCCGCTGTCGTCGCACGGCAGTCCTGCTTGTGGACTACTACTGGTGGGGCTGCGGACGCATGCGGAAGGTTGCGCTGTGACAGGAGACGCAAGAGCAGCTGCGCTTTGGCCAGGCGCTGAAAACGATGTGCACTCTGACAGGGATGGTGACCTCAATTGCGCGTTGACTTCGCCAGCCGGCGGCGCAGATGTAAGTGAGCTTGGTTGCGGTGTTTCGAGTAATAGAGGATGCACGGCTGTTTGCCGTGGAGCGAGGCGTGCGGAAGATGGCATCGGAGGTTGGACCGTGGGTAAGAGGCGTGGGGAAGGCAGAGGAAGGTTTGCTGCGCTGCGACGCGTTGCGCTGTCGTCGCCAACGGAATCTAATGATTGCTCCGGATGATTCATATCCGTGCCGGGTTGTACAAGAGAGCCCTGTCCAGGAGCGACGGTGCTTGGAAGGTTGGGAATCTGTCTCCACCAACCAGTAAAAATTGCAGAGGCACCCCAGCAAGTTTGTGAAGAGCAGATGATTCAGCAGAAGGCAAAACTCCCAGCAAAATAAAAAGAAAGGCTACTCGGTATGCCTCCAAATTGCGCACACCGGGCACTAGGCCAGGCCAATAAATGTTCTTACAATGCTTGTAAATACACTTTTCTCAAGACTACCTTTCGGAAGTGAGAAGCAGTGGAATGGTTCGTAGGACGAGACCCCAAAAATTGAGCTGGGCACAGTTGTGGTGTCGGCAACAGCACAGGTAGGGAGGTTTTCCAAATGTCAAATGAAGTACGCTCTATGGACGTTGTTTGGTTAGTTATGGCTGCATGAGCGGTTTGCTCTTTGCCGTACATTTCGGTAGCACGCCTGCCGCAGCATTCTAGTCGCAGCCCTCGAACAGCGGAGAAGGCATACGACTTAACGCGGCGTAATTAAGGAGATCCCGTAACACAGGATACTTAACCCCAAGCAAATATTAGGTACGACTAGCAGCCATGCACCGACGACCTCCTTGGACGCAATGATTCCGCGATAACTGCTCTACAGCTCGCTAGCATCCATTCACTACCTCTCATTATGAGGCCTGGGGACGAACGGGGGCAGCAGCACACTCAGCATCAGCAGCAGCCCCCGTGTCAGGGCCATCGGAGCAGGGGGCTGCCGACTGTGGCGAAGGAGCTCCTAGCGGGATTTGCCGCTGGCGCATCCAACGTGACGAGCGGTTACCCCTTCGACACGGTCAAGGTGACTCGACCTGTTAGAGCTTCGCACTCCCAGGAGCAAACGTCCCCTCCAGGGATCGAGGGGGGGTTTGGGCGGGTATGGAAAAGCTATTTTTTTGTTTCGGATGCGTGCGATCGGGGCTGGGACAGGGCTGCTGCGACCAGAGTTTCCATTCCGCATCCAAATCACCCACAGGAGCTCACCTCGCTGTTGATACAACACAATCTACTCCAAATGTCCATATGATTTTGCTTCCAGAAAGAAAACCGAAGCGCGCGAGGTCTGACGTTTTATCAGAATGAGGACGACATCTGCTGCTGTTTCCTCAGCCTGCAGAGCCACCTCTGCTCTGATCTGCGTCTGGTGCCGTACTGAGCGTCGTACAGTACGCCGTACTGACCGGTACTGTGTTGTACTGTTTGGGGTGAAAACACATCACTGTATTGTACTACTCGGCGGCGCAGTGCTGCTGTTGCAACCTGCGCTGCATGTCCAACGTCGCAGCGCCGTACAGCATAGCTGCAGGGACATGCAGCGCAGGTTGCAACAGCACGAACGATTGTGCAATGTCCTGTGACGTGTGTACATGTGGCTGTGCAGGTTCGGCTGCAGTCGGCCTGTCCAGGTCAGTACCGAGGTGCCTGGCACTGCCTAACGACAATTGTACGACACGAGGGTATTCGTCGGGGTCTGTTTCGGGGGCTGTCGTCGCCCCTGATAGGGGGTACTGCGGAAACCGGCATCAACTACCTGGCAAGTTAGTTGGGTATTAGTTGGGGTGGTTGGGTGGTTTGGGCGGATGGGTTGAAGGATTGGTGGGCTTGACTGGTGGCAGTTGACTCCGTACGGACGGCTTATGCTCCTGAACGACAACCGTACGCATGTACGTATATATACGTCGCCATGTAGTACTTGTCATTCGCATATACGATCCAGCCTTCGTCTTCGGTCCCACAACGTCACCGTCACCAGCGCCACCATCGCAACGCTACTATCACTATCACCATCACCACCACCATCATCAACATCTTGAGTTCCTCACCCCCCATGCCAACCCCCCTTCCCCCCGCCACCCCACCCCAGGTGTATTCCCGGGTACTACACTCCGTACGCCCCCCCGACGGCTCCCCCACCCCACTGCCCTCCGTGGCTGTTGCGGGGGCAGTAGCGGGTGTGGCGCTCAGTGTCGTACTCGGCCCCACTGAGCTCATCAAGGTGGGAGCGCCTTCGGAGCACCCGGGGGAGGGGGAGGGGGAGGGGATCAATACCATTGCACGAGGGCTAATGTCAAAGGGGAGTCAGAAGAAAGCAGCGGCGGACGTTCACGGCCCAAGCAACCCCACCAACCTGGGGTGGGGTGGGGGCCGACTGGGGGTGCTTGTGGGAGGGCGTGGCCGTGTGGGAGAGGAAGCGGGGACGCCACAGCTGTGGATGTGAAAGTCCGTGGAAGAAGCCCGCACCTAACCCAGGCATCTCTAACTCCCCACAGCACACTCTGCCTACCTCCTAAGGGGGGCTAGTTGGCCTGAACGGCAGTTGCGATGTCATCGAGCTCATCACACTGCTCCCACACGTCGATGCACGTCGATGTGGTTTACCCCCAACCCCCCTTGTGAACGGGGCGGCCTGATATCTCCTGGCTGATAGCTCCTCACTCTTGTCCTTTGCCTTCGCGCCTTTGCATGTACGTTGCCGGCTGTTGCTGCTGTTGCTGCTGTTGCCGGTAATGCTGCTGGCGGATCCTGGTGCTGCTGCTGGTGCTGCTGCTGGTAATGCCGGTTGTTGTTGTTGTTGTTGTTGTTGTTGTTGTTGTTGTTGTTAATACTGTTGCAGTGTCGTATGCAGCTGGCGGGTTCCTCCTCCCGCTACCCGGGGGGCCCTCTGCAGTGCCTGCGGGAGGTGGTGAGGTGGGAGGGCGGAGTGCTGCGGGGACTGAGCCGGGGCCTGGGAGCCACTCTGGCTCGAGAGATACCGGGCAATGCGCTGTTCTTTACCACATACGAGGGCCTCAGGTACGAGGGCATCAGGCGGTAGCGGGCACGGAGAAGGGAAAGGGAGGGGAAAGGGAGCCGGGGTCCGCCGTGTGTGCGTGTGCACGTGTGTGGTAAAGGGAGCGAACGCTGATGCCTAGCACAGGATTAGATGGGGTTGGAGATTGGGGTGGCGGTTGGGGGGCGGTTGGGGGGCGGTTGGGGGGGGTAGGGTGGCGGTTGGGGACGGCCGGAGGAAAGGGGGTGCGGGGGTACGGATGCTGTCGGGAAGCTCGTAAGGGGAAGTGGAGTGGGAGGTGCTCCCGGGGGGTTGGGGTGGACTCTCGGGGAACTGAGGACCTCTCGGGGGAGTATATCCCCCAAGGTGTGCGTTCGTATGTTTGTATGTTTGTATGTTTGTACATTTGTAAAATGTATGCGTTTGTTTGTATGCGTTTGTAATTGTATGTATGTAATTGTATGCGTTTGTAATTGATAAGTTGTCGGATCTGGATCTGAACTTGGATGCATCCACTTCTAGATGTGCCGCTTCCTGCTGGGCCCCCGTCTGGGTTTTGACGGGGGGGAAATCCGGTTGTCTGACCTGCAGACGCAGTTTGATTGGAGACGTACGACAGTACCAGCACCAGCATCAGCACCAGCAGCAATCCCAGCAACCCCAGCAACAGCACAAGAGAGAAGTCGAACCGCCGCCGGGTAGCGCGACGGAGCCGCTACCTAAGCCGACAAGTTCCCAGGCCACGAGATCATTGCCGTACCTCGCGGCGACGCCGTATCTTACCGGGGACATCACAGTGGGGGCCGACGCGCGGGGCGATGGCGGCAGCGGCAGCGGCAGCCGGGCTAGCAGAGGCGCACCGCCTCAGGAGATTGCTTCCGGCTCCCGGCTGGAGCACCTGGAGGAGCAGCCGGACGGCGGCGGCGCCGCTGCAGCTGCCGCAGCCACCACGGCGCCGCAGCGCCACTGGTGCACGGTATGCGGCGGTGTACGAATATGGAATTCGTGTATGTGCAACTAGGAACAGACAGTTTGCATCCGTTGTGCCGTGATGGTTATGGTATGCAAGTATGTCTGTATGTTACTCTGTGTGTGTGTGTGCTTTACGTGGTTGCGGGACCTGTAGTGCTGCCAGTAGCTCCCCCGTTCATATCCCCCGCCCCCGGCTGCTTCGCTTCATAACCGGCTGTGGTTTGCGTTGCACCGATTTCAGTGAGTTATAAAGTGGAAAGTTGTCGTGGTCGGACTTTTGTCCATACGCTTGTTCGTCAGTCGACACAGCAAATGAGACCTTCATTGCGTTGACCGTTTGACTGACTATTTTAGCGACCAGGGGCTGCTGCTGCTGGTAATGAGAACCAAGGGAGGGAGGAGAGAGGGACCAACAAAAAATAGGGCGGAAGGATGTATGAACTAACTCGGACTGACCTGGTGGCGAATCAATATCCAAAGCAGACATGTACCCGTAATTCGGACGACGACGACGACACGCGACGACGGAGCTGCGGATGTACGAGAAACACTCACACATCTATACATACGTACATATATATAAGATATAAAATGTAAAATATAATATTTAAGATGTATGCCACATATGTATATAAAATGTAAGATATACATCACATATGTACATAACTGATCCCAGTGCGGCGCGACCGCCTGGTTGAACCCCCTGCCATCCCGGCCTGCCCCACTCCGGCCCATCGCCTGCAGGAGGCCGCCATCGCTGTCTTTTGCGGAGGAGCTGCTGGGACGCTGGTAAGCCGGCGAGGCACCGCTGTCAACGCCTCCTTTACCAACACTGCCATGCACAGGGAGGAGTGAGGGAATGGAAATGCCGTCGAGCGGATGGGGGCTCCCCCGAATGGCCCTCCCCCTCGCTCCGGGACATACCAATTGGTTTATGGGCCCCGTGCCGTGTTTTGTTCCGCTCGCAGATGTGGGCTGCCGTACTACCGATCGACGTGGCGAAGACACGTCTGCAAACCTCTACGCCGGGGAGCAAGTGGGACGTCAGCCTGCGGACGCACTGGTTGATGGTGGGTGGTGGGCTGTGTTCGGGCTGCAACAGTTGTAGCGATAGTTGGGGCTTAGACTGCGGGGATTGAGGACAGCTATATGGGTTGAGCTTGGAAGAAGAGTGTACGGCGGAATGGGCTACTGCCGTACCTAGATGCCCAACAGGCTAAAGTAGACTCGCGGTGCTGCCCAGTGAGGCTCGTAATGCACCAGGTCCCCGCTGAGTGTGTATGTCAGGGGGAAGCATGCTTGCCTGCGAGCGAGTGTGTGTGTGCGTATATGTGTGTATGAGCAGGTGTTATGTGCATTCCATTAATTAGGGAAATGATCTATTAACAATTAATAGTTGATCGCTTCCCTTGTTAACGGAATATTATTACTTGTGAAGCGCAAAGTGGAACAGTTTGTGCCGTACGATCGTACAGCTGCCTATCATACGCATTCATTTGTATATCCTTCCTCCAATCAAATCCAACCAGGTTGAGATTTTGGCTGTCGAGAGCCAACTAGCCGATGCCAAGTTATAGATTTGTCATGCCTCCGTAATGTATTATATCTCATTCCTTGTGAAAGTGTGCTCGCGGGCCGTGGCTTTGGTGAGAATTCACTCTGTTACGATTTAATACAGTGCCCGCGTTGTGCCAAAGCTTAGTTCTCTTTATTCATTCACCGTCACACGTCCAACCTCCTCCTGCAGCTGTGGCGTGAAGGCGGCTTCTCGTCCCTGTACGCTGGCTTGACGCCAACACTGGTTCGAGCCTTTCCTGCTAACGCGTGCCAATGGCTGGCTTGGGAGCTCGTGATGCGGGGTCTCCGAGATAGTAGCGAGAGCGTGAGCTGACATGAAGGTGTAACCGGTATAAGAGTTGGCCAGAGTGGAGGTTTGGAAATGGGGGTGGTGAATGGAACTCAAGGTTACCATGCTATGCCGCCCCGCAGCAAGCTCACAAGACAATTGCCTGGTGTGCGATACGTGCCCGTGTCATGACCTTACGGTGTTACCATAACAGTTCTCCATCCATACCCTTAGTTGTTACAGACCTATGTAGTCTAGTGAACTTTTTACAAGAAGCGGCGTTGCTCCTTGCACAAGCTATGTCAAGGGCACGTCTATCCGCGCGCCCGTCCTGCTTATATGCAGCAGCACACCACCTGTGTACGCATCGCAATGGCAGCAAGCTATGCAACATGTCTATGTCCAGAATACAGTATGACTATCGAGGCCTTCGGTATAGGTTGTTCACATGAACTATAGTTGTGGTCTAGGTCTGTCCGGGCACACAGCGACGGTAGACCAGGCATGGGATGCGTCATCATAAAGGAAGACTGATTGGCCCGCGACACATCTTAGCGTCATGGCGAAACTACAGTAACGGTACAAAGGTACCCTATACCAGCCACACGCAAGCCTTATACACGTCCGACAGAGCAAGATGACGAGATAACTCGTCCAAGATTGGCAACTTTCAGCACAGTGCGCAAGCTACCAAGACCTAAGTTCCAGGGGAGAGCTAAGTTCCGTTGCCCGTTTTAACACTATTTCCAGCGCTTATCACATTACGAGAGCGATGTTTAGGACAGAATGCTAAAGCGACATCATAATGCCCGATGTGGTATACGCACACAAGCTACGAAAAGAATATGAACCCCAAGCAGTGACAGTGTTGCTCATCCTCAATGGTCACTGTGCGCCCCATATACGCACGCTGCAGGCACCTACGGCCAGAGTTCGTTGCCATACGCGGTGATTTTGTATGATCTATGCGGCACAATCGATCCAAGTTGTGTCTGCAATACCACTGATCACCACTTCTACGCAGTAACCCCGGGGCTGCAGGCCTCCTCTTCCTCAGGCAGCTCGGTAACAGAACAGCCATTTGCTGCTAAGTCGCGAGCCGCGTCACGGGCGGCAGCACGAATCGCGGCCTGCAAAACACTCCCCATACTGCTGCGTGCTCCGCTGGGAGTGGCCGCGCCAGGGCCGACAACCGCAGTGCTGGCAGATTGGCGCAGGGCGGAATTGCGCCTGGACGATGCGTTGGACTTGATGGACAGGCGAGGGTTTGAGACGCTGCTAGACTTCCGCAAGGACGCTGAGAAGGGGTCAACGTAGCCCGCGCCATCGTACACACCCTTGCCAATGCCATCGCCATCCTTGTCATCGCGAGACACAGGAGCGCCTAGACGCTCCACGGTGTGCAGCTTGGGCTCACAGGGAACTGTGACAGTGCGCGATTGCAATGGGTCTACGCGGAATGGTGACGAGAAGTCGGGCATGGGACGGGCCTTGAATTCGAGCGTCTTGCGATATTCCTCCACGTTCATCTCCTCCAACTCCTTGGCCTTGAGCTCCGCCTCCTACAACCAGGTCGCACATACCGATCGAAATCTCGTGAATTGACTGCAACTATAGGGATAATTGCTGTATGTCCCTGATCTTATTATTGGGGTTATACCCCATCATCATGGCGGTGGACATTGTAAGGGGACAGTTACGTGACACAGAATCCCCAGAACCCCACGTTAGCCTGCGGACAACTCGTTCCTCTAGTAGACCTACCATCTTTTCCCGGTTCGATTCGGCCTCCTTCGCCTTCTTTGCCGGCTCGAGGACCTCGCGGTGATACGAGATGCGGGCTTCACTGGCAAACACGGGCGCTTCTGCGCGTGTTGGCGGGCTCGGGGCTGGCTTCGGTGGTGTGAACGGGGAGGAAGCAATGCGAGGGTCGAAATTGCGGGCCTTGAAACGCCTGGCCTCCTCCTCACGAGCCGCCTCCTCCTCAGCCTTCTTACGCTTTTCCTCCATCTGCAAGGAAAATACAATTGAACTGATTAGTCCGCAAATCACTAAGCTTGAGACATTCACTACCAGCTCAGATCAATAACATTACAGCTCGCTAAACTCTATTTTTCTCACCGAAAAGGCGGGAACGGGTGTTACCACGCCACCCGCAACCAGCTGACTTATGTCCTCACACACGCATCATACCTTCTTATTGTGCAGTTCCAGAGAGGCCAGCTGGAACGGCTCGAACACGACGCTTGGTTCCTTGGGCGGGGACCGCTGAGCAGGTACGATCGGCCGTGATTCGTAAACGTGCTTCGGCACAGGTTTGCGCCTGCATTGGACATCGAAATGCTGAATATCTATGACAACCAGTAAAAAAAGCCTTTGCATATCGTCATTGCTTCGCCTGTGTGTGAACGCTGCCATCCCTTCGCCTGTGCGTGGCGAGAAAGCAAGGGTGCAAAGTGGTGCAGCAAGTTGGATCCTCCCTACCCTGATTAATACCCAAGGCATGGCCATCCTTAATCAGTCGTACTTACTTGAAGGCCTTCTCGCGCGCGGCCGCCAGCTCCATCTCTTCTGTAGACATCACGGTGCTCTTGACTCGCATCTCCGAGCGTAAAGTAAACGGCTGTGGCTTCGTAACACGCTGGCCTTGCGGACTACTCAGCAAGGTCTCCAGATGCATGGAGTGCCTTGCCGGAGGCGTCTCTGCAGCCCGGCGAATGGCGGCGCGGTACTCGCGTCAGCTTAGGAAGCTGGGTTGAACACACTAACAAAGTGCACCAGGAAAGCGATACCGAAAATATGCATACCCTTCATATTACCCTTCATATGCATCAATAATCAATGCCCATGATCTGAAACTCACCCTTAGACTTGGCCTCTTCGCTTCGGCCAGTCACACGCGCAACGAAGGCCTGGGTGGGTGCCAGAAGAGTTGATGCCATGCGCGAAAAAAGACTGCGACGCTTGCGCTGTTTGCGCGAGTCCCCCGATGGAGCCGTTAGGCTGGTTGACGCACTGGCATCAAACTCCTTTGAAACGCGTGCCTTGTGCGCAAAGGTGGGTCGCAAATATGAGGGTGCCGAAGCCGGGGATGAAGCTCGCGGTGGGCTGCGGGGACTGCGCTGGCTGACAGCGCTAGCCTCCTGAGGCAAGTGAACACCGGGCTTGGTTGTCTTGGGCTTGGGCAAGGTGGATGCAAGCTTGCCGTCGGCTGGTTTGGCAACGACAGCAGCTGGCTTGGGCGAGGCAACGACAGCAGCTGGATTGGGCGAGGCAACAGTAGCAGCTGGATTGGGCGAGGCAACAGTAGCAGCTGGATTGGGCGAGGCAACAGTAGCAGCTGGATTGGGCGAGGCAACGGTAGCAGCTGGCTTGGGTGACGTTAGTACCACGGCAGCAGGCGGCACCTCAACGGACTTGGCGGAAGTCGGACATGGTGAAGCTGGCTTGGTAATTACAGGCTTCGGAGCGGTGGCCTCAAGCGGCTTGGAGTCGTCCTTGACTTCAGCTGCTGGGTGCGCAAGGGCGGGCGCGGGAGCCGGATCCGGATGCAGCTCGGCCACTTGTGGGTCAGATATGTGCGGCTCAGGCGCAACAAGGATCTTCTTCTCAGAAGTGTGCGGGGTGGTGCGAGATACGACTACCACTGCGGCGTTGTCCATAATCATATCGAGGGGCTCAAACGGCACAGCTTGCTTCTGCTGCGTGTCCTCCTCGGAAGGAGCTACTGTTGGGGCGTTGCCACCTTGCTGCACGTTGACACGTAGCGCCACGCTGCCCGACTGCGTCGAATGGAGACGAAGGGAAAGCTGGTCTGCGCTGCCTTGCTTCAAGGAGCTCCGACCTGTCGGAAGGGGTCCGAACGGGCAAAGGCAAACTTAAAAATTATACGTATTCAGATTCATACCCAACTTACCACAAACTGAAAGAGACAGACGCGATGGAATTTTGGAAACATTTTGAGGTTTGCTTTGCCAAATGCAGATAAAAGCAAGCTTTACGTGCTTATTTCAAACAACCAACAGAGACGCATTGAGATTCAAAGCTGCAAACCTATGACCTCAAAGAGTAAGGGCGGCGAGGCCGGTACACTTCTCGCAGCTGACATGGGGGGACGGGGGGTTGTAGCGAGTTGCCTGCCCCAAAGCGCAGAAACCCACCAGCAACCATTGATGTGCAAATGTTGAGCACCGACTTCGCCTCCTCGACGGTAAGGTATAGCTTGTCCTTCAGCTGGTCCACCGAAACGAGGCCCTGGCCAATGGTCAGAGCGCTCATGCCCTGCTCGAGAGCCTGGTCGCTGATAGCATCGACAAGATCTGGATCTTCGAGAGCTTCCTTGAGGCACGAGCTGAGAACCTCGCGAGATTCAAGGGCAGCGCCCAGCGGCATGGTTGGAGTCCTACAAACACAAACTTTATTTGAAACTGTAAAAAAATGGAGCAAACAAAGGTGATTAACTTCAAGAACACTGGTGGGGTATGTACACGTAAGGCAACATATTCATAAGCTTTTTTGTCTCTTTGTCTGTGCGCACAGCCCGTACGGCATGGAAGTAGCTCCATGTAAGTACGCTTTGCAATAGTAATCCTCAATCAAACCGTGTATGGATGTTACACTACAGACAGCCCTGCTCCTGACAGCACTGACACTGCCGAGCAAGAACATAACAGTCCCATGATTGAGGCCAGGCCAGCCGGCTTGATGCACCCATTACGTTGAACAATTGATGGCAGACAGTTAGACGAAAGGCTGGTGATAAATTGCCATGGGTGCAACGCACAGGTCTCGTGTGCCGAGGGGGAATTGCCGGGAAGTCACAGGACAAACGCCGCACGCCAGTAAGAGGTTTTCAGTCAGTTCCGCTCTGCCAAAATAACGATTGATTCCGCATCGTTTCTTCACCTTGTGGCCGTCGGACTACCAACTGTTTTTAGGTTATCCGTTGTGGTTCTCCGGACCCCTAGAGATACGATTAGCTTATTGTCATGAATATTATAATGCAGCCATCTTTATTCTTCTCTGTTCCTTTCGATATGGCGGCACGCAGGCCCTCAACCTTAATAAGCAGCGCGAGTAAGGCAACGAATGCGTTTGTCCGCGACCGTCGTATCATAGGATAGAGATACGCCATCGGAACAATAATGCTGTTTTGGCAATAGTTCCTCGAGGGGACTATTTCCGTCATAACGATAACTGTGCGACTTGAAAAGTTGCTCCTGGTATGAATAGACAACCCTGAGAAGAAACTAACAAAACAATGAGCAGCAAAAGCGAAGTTTGAGGCATTTGCAAGAAAAGTGGAGGGAAGATGGCAGAATTGTATCAGCTCGGCTCAATGTTGTACGGATCCAGTGGAATGATCGTAGAGTAGACCCCAGGAGGGCCGCGCATGAACCCCCCTCGTCCGCGAACCCTTGACCACAGATTATCACTACGGCACACATCAGCTCAACACTTCTAAGGCTTGTGCCTACCTTTGCAAGGCAACACGTGCTGAGGGTAGGGTGGAACACGGGTACAGGCGAAATGGGTCATTTATTGCCAGCATGCAGGCGGCCGACCAGTACTAGTAGCCACCGCAAACCCAGGAGCCTTGAAAGGCACGCACGTCGCTTGCCCTGTACTAGAACCACCCGACCGAAGGAGGCCCTTCCCGAGGCAGGACTGGGAGTCCGTCCTAGGCCTATGACATAGCCAGAAGAATTTCAGGTCAAGACTGCCACCCGGCAGCACCGGTCCCGCCCACCCATTACCCTCTCCTGGAAAACAAGGCACGGAGCCACAGACTCTTAACTCGTTCCCAACATGGCGGGATCTCCGCGCAAGGTTAACCTATGTAGTAGCCCACACCCCAGAAGTCCGAGGTGATCCTCCTTGTAGCCCGATTTACGAGCCCTATGTATTCGGGCGGCGTACTCGTACGTACGAGACTCGGTCATTCATGGAAGTTTGGGGTTCGTAAGAACACGTTGCACCTTGCCCCGCACGACGCAAATTAGTCCGATACCCGCATGCCAAGTGGAACCCCGTAACTGTTACGAGCATTCCGAAAATTACGATAATGACTAACATATTCTTATTACTGTTACTTGTGACGCGTAGGCGGAACAACTCCTGCCGTACTATCGTACAGCCGTACCCCAACAAGGGTATATCCTTCCTCCGGTCGGTTCCGTCTAGGCGGACATTTGGTTGTCAAGAAGCAACTAGCCGATACTATCTGTTATAATTGTTTCCGCTACGTTATTATTCGTATCTTGTTCCTACTCTTCGTAACAACAAGGGTCGATACAGGTAATACCTTGCCACGCAAGCTCCTCACACGCAACGTCAGGCAC